TCTTCCAGGTGTCAGAAGTTCTGTCTGCGGAGAAGTGCCGGTTGTCAGTGAGCGGCTGGTTTCACGGCCCAGCAGTAGTCAGACCTGCGCGCCACGTGGAAGCTCCCTTGCCCAGGACCCCGCACATCCCCTATGATGTGAGTAACGAGCCTACGTGGGCTTATGTGCACTTCTGTTTCTTTCATGTCCCTGGAATACCTGTCACGGGATGCACCGATGCTCGGGGGTGCTTTCATCTTTAACCTACCCCATTCTCTTTTTGTTTCATGTCCATAAAGTCATATTTGGTTTCTCTCTTGTATGTCTCTCCTGACTCTGCGTTGCGCATCCCTACAGTAGTGCAGACAATGCACCAAATACTCGTGGTGCAATCAAAGACAGAAGTCCCAGAAGGGAATGGAGTGTGTGGGGGAGGAATCCAGCCCAGTGACCAGCTGGGGACACGGGGGATGCGAGCGAATCCTTTTTCCTTTTCCACATTCATCATTCATTTCCCTTCCAGCATGAAATCTTGTATGAGTGGCTCAATCTAGTTTATTTGGACATGGACTCCCAAGCTCAAATCCAGGAGGAATTTGAGGAGCGATCAGAAATTCTCCTGAAGGATTTTCTTAAGGTGAGCCCAGTGGTTCAGTCTGATGTGGTGTGCGAGATCAGGTCACAGGGCTGGTGGGTACCATGTGTCGTGCAGGCCGGGAAAGGGCTTGCTTGTACAGCTGCCAGCTAAACCACCGTCTAGTTTCGCTCCCTAAAGGGGGATGGACGGGGTACCCTCCAGAGATCCCTTCCAACCTCAGCCATTCTGTGGTTGGATCCCCTCTGCTGCCTGTACATTCATCAAAAACCACAGAAGTCCCTTCAACATTGTTGTTTCCTACAAGAAGCCAAGCAGAAGGGTGGAAAGACACATCATCCTCCCTGCTTCCTAGCATGGTGGCGACCACTGTCCTTCCCTGTCCCTCAACCTCTTGCAGCGCGTGGGGAACTTGACCTGGCCATGAAACAAAGGACCCGTAATGATTTTGCCTTACTTGACAGGCTTTGCTTCTCAAGGCTGAGTTACCTCTGGTTTGCTGGGCACGTGTAACCGAGTGACTAACTGCAGTCTCGCCCAGCAGACAGCCAAGTAGCATTTGAGGCCTGTTGGTTGCTGGCGCTGAACGGGCGTGCTGCCCAGCCAGGCTGTGCCCCTCCATGCAGCTGTCTGTAGGAGCCTCAGATGAGTCAGAAAAAAGTGAGAGGGCCTTATCCGAGAGCACAGGATGGCTGCTTCTAGCACACCAAGGGAGACCTGGGAGCTGAGTGTTAAAGGCACTATCTTTTCTCCCCTAGAAAGAGAAATACCAGCTACTCTGTGAAGCTTTGGAGAGCAAAGACATCCAGTGGAGTAGCCGGGGGCCTGCCAATAAAAGGTGGGGAGTGGCCGCGTTTTGCACCTGCTGATCAGGCCAAGCAGGAGCTGCCATGAGGCGGCACTGGTTGATGCTGCCCCATGGACATGGTCCTTGCTGGTTCTCCAACAAGGAGAGACACCTGCTGATACCTTTGCTGTCTTCCAGACTCTACGAGACAGCAGAGGAAGACAGCCTCCCCGACATCCTGAAGCAATTCCTGCAGTTCTTACGCTCCGAGGCCTTGTTTTTACTGCTTTCCAACTTCACTGGCCTAAAGCTGCACTTCCTGGCTCCCTCTGATGAGGATGAAGGTGCTGAGGAAGGAGGAGCAGCAGACGTTGCTGGGCACAGCAGTCTCAAACCTGAGCAGGAAGAGACTGAACAGCACGCTGATAGCAGTCCGCATCCGCCAGACCAGCCTGACAACAACCCTGGAGCACGAGACAGCGACAGGCAGAATGGTAAGTCCAGCAGCAGCAGCATGAAAGGACTTGAGCAGAATCCTGATGTTATGGATGTTGGCAGCAGAATTCCCAGTGGTTTTTATGGAACTAGGATTTCACCTTGTACTGCAGCCAGCACAAGGCACGGGCACAAACATGGGACTTGAAGTATGTCAGACTGGGTATCCAGAGTAAGTGAGCATGGCAGAAGTATTTGGAATAAAATAATGATGAATATGAAGATACCGTTTCGAACAGAGTTAAGGGAGGGACTTCCGGAGGAGTTACGGCGTGGGTGAGGAGGGGGGCTCTTAGTTAATTGCCCAGTAATCTTTTCCCAGTAGTTATATTCCTGCTTCCTATAAAATAAATTCTTGTATGAGACCAAATGAAAAGGAAGAAAGTGAACAGATCAGAAGATAATTAGTATTAGAAAACTAATACCTACAACCAGGATGTAACCTTTCAGAAGATGCTGCCAGCCTGAATATCCACTCAGTTGCCAGCCATGAGATATCACGGCGATAAAAGATTAGATTAATTTTGGATTCATAGATCGTTGCTGTCTCTTTAAAACACTGCCTCTGAAGGTCATGGATAGAGCTTCTGAAAATGCTCATCTTGCACTGAGTCAGGCAAGTTAGTGGCCACCGGAATAAAAGGCAGTAAAAACCCCAAGTTCTGCTGAAAATCCCACTGGAAAACTTAGGAGGAGAGTGTAGTTTGGGGCTGCACAGATTGAGAACTGAGCTAGACCTATAGGAAAAGAAAGGCTTCCCCAGATTCTGACATACCTCCTGGGATGGCAAGTGCAGAGTGAGTTCAGAGCAGTATCCTTCTTCGCTGCAGCACCTGGTTGTTTCAGCACTTCAAGAACAGATGGGTTGCTGGCTCCTGAAGCACTGCTGGAAATCGTGTGATGGGGGAAAAACCGCAAAACAAAAGGAGGAACTGTTTAACCAAAGCACACCGCAGCTTGATCCCTGTTGTGGTTTAGGCCTTGCCAGCAATCCAGCACCACCCAGCTCGCCTCCCCCTCACATCCCCTGGTGGGATGGGGGAGAGAATCAGAAGAAAAAGATAAGAGAACTCATGGATTGAGATAAGAACAGTTTAATAATGAAAAATAAATGAAAGGAAATAATGATGCTAATACTACTTATAATATGTAATAATAATACTGTTAATAATATGTAATGGAAACACCAATGGGAAAACAATACTAAATGATGCAACCACTCAACACCTGCCAGCCAACACCCAGCCAGGCCCCGAGCAGCAACAGCCAGAGCGAGAGAGGCAGCAAGAGCCCAAGAGAGACCCCCAGCCAACTCCCCTCAGCGTACATACGTGACTTCTGACAGCATGATGTATCCCTTTGGTCAGTCTGGGTCAGCTGACCGGGCTGCCTCCCCTCCCAGCCTCTTGTGGAGAAGAAACTGGGATCACAGGCAGAATCAGAGACTGATTCTGTCCTTGGCTTAATGTAAACATTGCATGGCAACAGTTAAAAAATTAGTGTATTGTCAATATTCTTTGCCAACAAATCCAAACCGTAGCCTCATACTAAAAACATCAGCATGTTACCAACATTCTTCTCGGCACAAATGCAAAACCTTGCCTCGCACTAGCCCCAGCCAAAACCAGCCCAGTCCCTTTCAAAGAGCCAGTCTTGGCCCACCTCCTCCTCCATGCTGCTCAAAGGATGTAACTCAGAGCCACCTCTAGGAAAAAGGTAACGCCAGATCTGTGGTTTTACTCTGTCTTCCCTTAACGCTGTGTTGGGGCTGGCAGGCACTGCGCCACAGTGCGTCGCAGCGCGGGGGCTTGCCCCCTACGTGCCTCGAGCTTGGCGGGTGTCAGCCGCTGTACAACATCGTTTGGCTTGTGTCTTCCCTCTTCCAGGCGCAGGTAGCCCGGTGTGCGCGGGGGAGCTGAGGCGCTGGACCCACGGGCACTATACTCTAGTCCATGACACTCAAGCAACAGAATTTGCTCTCGACCTGCTCTTCTTCTGCGGCTGTGAGGGTAAGCGCACAGAACACAGATGTCAGACTCTCCTCACAAGGTTTGTGTGAAGGAAGGACTTCTCAATTCCCAGCAGCGCTACAACAGCCAGAGTTTCCCTGCTTCTTGCTATACAGAAGGGCTCTGCAGACTTTACCCTCCTCAAGGCTTGCGCAGCAGCCCTGGTTTCAGTTGTCCTTACATGGATTTGGGATCAGCCTCCACCTTTCCCGCTGGAGCCAGGGTGTGGCGCTTGGGCAGAGGGAAAGGCTGCTGCTCCCAGACCTTCCCTTGTCAAGCAGTGACTCTGGGCACGGTGGAGGGTCCAGTGGCCAGAAAACCCACTCCAGGTGTTCCATTTTGCCCCTATCCTCATCAGAATCATCACTGTGCCTCCCTTTCACAAAGCCCAGGATTTTCACAAGTTACTTTAGGCGTTTCTAGGCATTTTAGGTTGGTTGCTTGTTAGATAGTGGTGAAAACAAGGATCTAAATGTGAGCCGAGCCCTGGCACACACGGGTGATTCTGCTGACGGCCTTTCGCGTGTCGGCCAAGGGAAAACGGCTCTGCCTGCAGGGAGCCAGGAACCTGCAATGGCCCCTGTGTGGTACCAGGCAAATCTCACACGTTTCCTTCAAGTCGTTCCGCAGTTGAAAAAACAAACAGACCAGCAGGAGGTAAACTGGGAATCATCCTGTATCCAGGAACTGTGGGGAGTGGGGTGGAAAAACGACATCTCCAGGAAGTGTTGAACTTTCTAAGAGTCTTTTCTTTCCTGTTTCAAGCCTGGGATGCAGAATACGGTGGCTTTACGTCCTACATCGCTAAAGGGGAAGATGAGGAGGTAAGCACCTCCGCCGCTTGCTGCTAATTAGGTAAAATTCTTCAGGGTGGGGAGGTACAGTTACACTTTGTCACAGCGCTGACATAATCCCAAGGCTGCTGGGCTTCGCCCTGGAGCCGGTCTGCCCGAACTGCTGCTCGTGGACTCCGGCTTCAGCCTCAAGGGCCTTGCGGCTCAGGCCCTGACAGTGCCCTGCACTGGTGGCGTTTGGGAAGCCTCGGAGGGGACAAGGCTGTAGCTGGGCTGCTGCTTTTCCAGGGAGGTGCTGTTTGCTAAGGTCACGTTCAGCATTGGTGCTAGTGAGGGCGCTGGGTGGCCCCAAGTCCAGAGTCCCTCGCTGTCTCATAAACGCTTCAGGTTGAGGGGTATTAAACCGAAAACAGTGATGCGTTTCATTTTTTAACACTAGAGCTTTGTCCTGGCTAGCTTTTGAAACCCTTTGGTTTGTTTCTTCCTCAGAATGATGTTAAAGCCATTTTTGTGAAACTAATTTCCTCCCTTCCGTGTCTTCTAGCTGTTGACAGTGAATCCAGAGGACAACTGCTTGGCCTTAGTTTATAGAGACAAAGAAACCATGAAGTTCGTGAAATACATCAATCATCGTAGCTTGGCACGCCTGAAAAATCATCCCAGCAGAACAGGCTTTTGGGATTTTTCCTTTGTCTATTACGAGTGAGGGTGCAGAGCGCGCCCACGGTGACACAAGGGAACGGTGGGGCCAGTCTCAGCCCAGACAAACCTTGCTGCTGCCACCTCCATCGCACTCTACGAGCTGACCCCTACCACGGGATCCAGGGGACTTTTTTTACCTGCACAGTCAGTAATCCAGCCCGTTGAGACACGCACTCAGACTGCTTTTAGTGCCGCGTGGAGGGGGTCAGTGTCGCACAGCTCCGTCAGCTTTCCCACTTTTCTCGTGGAAACGGCACGGCGGGTTGTACCTCTCCCCTGTCAGGGTACAAAGACAACTGTGCAGTGCCCCAGGCCGATGAGTGATTTTATTAAAAGGCAAAAAACCATGCTTCACACGCTGCTTGGGCAAGCTGTGTTCACTGTAGAGACACAAATAAAGGAGCTGCCATGGGAAATAGTTTTTCCCAGCTGCACAACTCGAGTTGGAAGGAAGACAGCAAGGCTGTAAAGCTGCTGGTGTTGAGAAGGACCTGGCACTGTAACAAGGAGCAGGACTTTGCCACGCTAAATGCTGTGCAGGCAGAGCCAGGTGCAGCCCTTTCCCCAGAGAATTTACCAAAGCTCGTCTCCAGGCGAGAGAGGAGACCCGCTCCCGCGGTGAGTCTCTGCTTCAGAGGCGAAGGGGTGGTGGGCTGCAACCTCGGAGCAGGGGCTGGGCCGGCAGCAGGAAGGGGCTAACTCGCCTCATCCACAGCGGGGGGGTCACCAGCAGCATGGCCTCAGAGTGTGGCCCTGCTGTGGCCTCTGGGGCTGGAGATCAGCTTGGGTCCTCCCGGGTGGCAGCAGATCCAGGTCCTGCGGGACACAGGACAAGAAAGGCAGTGGCCTCGGTGTGGTGCCTGCTCGCTGCACCACGTTCGCTGCAAGCGGCGCTGTGCCAGGCCCTGGCCTCCAAGGTGTCCAGCTCACCGATGTGCTGCTGCAGAGCCACGCTGGTTGCTTCAGAGGGCAGCCAGACTGCACAACGCCCCACTGCAGGCTCGGCCCTGGCCTGCGTACACTTGCCTGAAACCCTTTTCTTGGCAAGGAGGAGACAGGGGTGTGTAGTCAGCTCATCCGAGCCAGGGAGAGCTGCACCTCATTCCTCCGCCTCCCAGGACAGGAGAGGGTAGCTTTGGATGCGACCTTGCTGCTGCGCCCGTTCTGGGCCTGCTGAAGGCCACGGTGGGGGTGTGAGAGCAGAGCTGGCAGCCGCCGAGCAGTAAGCTCAAAGCAAGGCTGGTCGCGTTGGCACATGAGTCCTCCGCACCCTTCGCAGAGCGGGATGTGCTTTGGGCGTGGAGATCCGGGAGCAGCACCTTCCGCTGCGATCCCAGCACACGGGGGTTCGAGAAAGGATCTACTGAAGCACGAAGCCATTGCTTCCAAAGCGAAAGGCATCTTGGGCCACGCTGATGCCAGAGCAACGGGTCAACGCACCGTGTCGTCTCGGCATCGGTTCCATCCCGGACTGTGAGCAGTTGCTGGGTTGTAGCTGTCCCCTCCTGCACTCCTGGGCAAGAAGGTCACCGGGAAGGTGGTTGCTCCGAGCTGCTACTGCAAGATCTACCCCATCTTGTTCGCCTTCTGACTCATCTCCCCGGGCGCTGCCAAGACCACCTGGCTGGGGTTTACTCTCCCCGTGTACTGTTCTGTGCTACTTACAAAGACAAGGGGATGAGGCTGGAAACAAATCCTGACGTGAGGGCAGGACTCTGAATCACTGGTTTCTGGGGCACTCCGCTGCCTGTAGGGCAGCAGCTCCTCCTGGGGGGAAAGCAGCAGGAAGGGACAAGTAATAGAAGTTACAAAGGGGAAAAAAAAAGGCAAGGTTAGTTGGGTAGTTTCGACCAGAGCTGTTCACAGCATAGTCGCTAGGCACAGTGGGGAGTAAATTAATTGACAAAGTTATTTATTCTACTGCATCGGGAGCCTGAGAGTGTGCTGGGTAGATCCTGGGACAGCCTACCCGAAGACTGGGAAGAAGCTGGGTGTCCTGGAGCTTGCTGCTTTTCAATAATACATGGCACACTAGAGGGCACACCAGCTTCTCCTGGAGCCAGCCCCGTCTGTCTGATCACAAGGCACCACCCTACTGCCTCCGGGGACTGAGGTGAAGTCATCGAAGAAGCCAAATTTGCAGTCAGCATTCAAAGATTTAAAAATCAACACGTCTCTGCCCTCCCACCCTTCTTGGTCGGGCCCAAAAGCCAAAGGCAACCCCACACACAGCTGGCGCTCGCCAAAACGTCCAATACGAGCTACTGGGGAAGAGGGGTCTTCACGTAGCCTGCACCAGTAATGGGTGCTCTCTCTTGCTGGCTACAAATCTACATTTAGCATGAGGTGTAGCTGCTTGCAAAGTACTCTGATCGTACCAAGTACATTCATACCCACAAAACGAATGCAGAAAAACAGGATGCAGAACAGGAAGTGAGCAGAGTCATGGAGCGTGAGCAACAGAGAGCGGAAACTTCATACCAGCACGACGGCCTCGCGCAGATGTCAATCAGCCCGGCTGTACGAGGACCCACGCGTCCCACCAGCCGACTGCACCTCCGGAGCCTGGCATTTGATGCAGGATACCAGCAGCCCCCAGTTATGGAAATGCTGAGTTACAGCACAGATTTTTCAGGATTTGGTAGTTATCGGTTTGCAGAGTAGCTGAAAACAGGAACAGTTTGGTCTGGAGCAAGATAAAACCGTTCAGCTGTAGACCAGACTGAAGGAATCCACAGACATGCAGCAAACACGTTCTGACGTCGCGTATTCGGAGAATTAGTGTTAATTAAGAGCATCAGGAATCCATGTGACTTGGAGGAACGGGCTAAAATCAGATACCCGTTGTCAAGTGTCAGTTCCAATTACATGGGGTATTTCTAAACTCCAGGCCAGAACTTGAATTAGGAGACTGAAAACCACTGTTACACAGATCCCTCCCAGCAGGCACCGAGCCAGCCCAGGACTTGGCCAGCATTTCCCAGGCAGCCAGGGGCCGTCTGAGGAAGGCTCCAGCCCCAGCCGCAGTCCCAGGCAGGCACGGAAGTGCCCCAGCGGTGCAGGACTCTGATCTACACCCGATCCCCAGTCCAAGGTGTGGTGCCATCAACGCAGCCGTGCCCATTAGCGCTTAACACCACGAGGCTCCGCTCGAGTGATTCCAGAAGTAGTTCTGTGCCCAACCAGTGGCTTAACCTGCTGTGACCAGTTCCCCTCCTGCCCCCAAGAACGGCGTCACCCGGCGTTAGTCCCGGGCCGAATCGTACAGCGGAACCACGTACCGCGATCTCCCGGTGCAGGTCAGCTTACATCCGCTGGCTGCCGCGCGCCAGCCGAGGGCCGCTCGGTTCTAACAGGCAACCGCAGACCTGGTACCGCCTCAGCTTACGGGACGTGGATTTTATGTTCGGCAAAAATAAAAGGTTGTTTTTAATGGAAAAATAAATGGCAAATTTGTGGTCAGAAACCTAGCCAGGGGACATCAGCCTTATCAGAGCTCTGGGCTGAGCAAAGGACTGACCTCGCTGCCAGGAGCAAAACGGAGCCGGGGCTGGAAGCGCCTGGTGTGGAGCCCGGAGAATCAGGGTGATGGGAAAGCTGCTTCCTGATCAGAGCCACTCTCCCGTCGCTGACCAGACTACATTAAGTAAGCAAGCGTTAGGATTTTGAATGTGAACAACAAATGGAGAGGTTGAAAGAGTGGGAACAGGTACAGCAGGTGGCAGAAAGCCCAGCACATGCCAGGAGACTGTTCCATAATCAGGGCTCAAAGCTCACTTGCTTAGAACAGCATGGGTGGCTCACCAGCCTTTACCAAGGAGCTGGATTTGACTAACGACCAGCTTCTTAAAAGGATTCAAATGAGCTCCTGCTGCAGATCTGAAGTGACAGATCTCTGCTTTTGGCAGCGCAGTTCTCAGTGTTGAAGGGGTCAAAGCAGTGGCAAAGGGCCATTTTGGGGTTTAAAACACAATGTAAGAATTACATTCCCCATTCAGAAGGATATAGACCAGTTGGAGCGAGTCCAGAGGAGGCCACGAAGATGCTCAGAGGGTTGGAGCCCCTCTGCCATGGGGACAGGCTGAGAGTTGGGGGTGTTCAGCCTGGAGAAGAGAAGGCTCTGGGGAGACTTCATAGCACCCTCCAGTATCTGAAGGGGCTACAAGGAAGCTGGGAGGGACTTTTGACAAGGGTCTGTAGGGACAGGACAAGGGGTAACGGGTTTAAATTGAAAGTGGGGAGGTTTAGATTAGATATCAGGAAGAAGTTCTTCCCGGAGAGGGTGGTGAGGCACTGGGACAGGTTGCCCAGAGAAGCTGTGGATGCCCCATCCCTGGAAGTGTCCAAGGCCAGGCTGGATGAGGCTTGGAGCAACCTGCTCTAGTGGAAGGTGTCCCTGCCCATGGCAGGGCGGTTGGAACTGGATGGGCTTTAAGGTCCCTTCCAGCCCAAACCATTCCACGGTTCTATGATTCAACCGGTTGGATGCCCACCAGCTGCAGTGGGCTGTGGGTGTCAACGCAGCAGTGACAAGTGACAGACCAGTTCAGGATGCAAATACTCCCGACAGCCCTGAGAAGCTGCCCCAGCACTTCGCTTCGCAGCCGTGGGCCGCCTCCTCCCCGCTCACCCTGCCAACACCGATCCACACGGCACTAGGTGCGATGAACAGCGCTGGAGCTAGGAGCACCAGGGCCCAACCTCCACCTGCGCAGGGTATTTTTAGCTTCCAGAAGAAATTTGCTTTGGCAAAGGTTCCAAAATATCTTTAGATCTAAGATACAGCCGTACTGTAATATTTAAATCCAATTCTAAGAGATCCCATAATTAATGAACCGGTTTGGGCCGGGAGCCAAGAGATGTTTCAATCCCTTCTCTGTTTGATCCCACTACGTACTGCCAGCTCTTCCTAAGCAGGCACCAGTTTGGGCGTGTAGTTTGTTTTTGTTGTTCCTGAAATGCATCCCTGCCCACCTCAGTATCTGCAGCTTTTTTCCCCTGTAG